CAACGGCTATAAAATGACTATATTTCAAGGGTAAAAGTGTAGTTTAAAAAAATAAATAAATTTTACATTTTTTTTTTTTTGGCCAACCCGGCGGGTTGGCACACCAACCCGCCTGCAACCCGCCGGGTTGCGGTCCTCTTGCAGAGAGGACAAAATAGCAACCCGCGGGCCGGCGGGTTGCCATCAACCCGACCCGCCCGGGGGTTGCTGGCGGGTTGGGCTCAACCCGGCCCACCATTAAGGCGGTCCGGGTTGAACCCTCTTCGTTACGGGCCGGGTTAGGGTTGACCCGCCTAACCCGACCCATTTTTTCCACCTCTATTTGGAAGCATCCATTATGCCTACTATGCAATATATTTGCCCAAATTATATTGCTTCCGTAGGGAACTTTTTGATAAATTCATTTACCGATTAAATGAATCATCTGGACAATTCATATACATACTTTATTTTAAATGCATGACTGAATAAAGGAATCAATTTATATATATGAATTGAAGAACTTTTTTTTCTATTGTTTATGATATATTGATACAAGACAAAATGCTCTGAAACCGACAACACGAATGGTTTCTAGGGCATACACTAACAAAGAGATGGTGTAGAATTATTTATGGCAGGTCTAAGGAGAGCAACACTTTCCAAGGTATGAGTGCTATTTTGCAATGTGGAAGCATCAATGGAGTTGTTGTTGAATGAGTCATCAAGAACCTCAATGTTAGATTGTTTAAAAGGAGCAGCAGGTCTGGAGTTGTTGAGCATTAATCCAATAGTAGGGTCTGCCTTAGTGTCACCTGCACTACATTGAGAATAAGATGGAATAGGATTAGTTTGAGGACTTGATTCTTCTAAATCCATGGCAGTAGGATCTAACCACTCATTGTAGGAGTAAAGATCCCCCTAAATTTGATAAGGGTTATACAATGACGTCGGATCAGAAAAGGGCAAGCATTCTTCATCGAATACCACATGTCGAGACTTATATATTCGCCCAGTAGGTGGGTAGAGACACTTGCAACCTTTATATGATGTGTTGTAACATAAAAAGATGCAAGGCGAAGATTTGGGTTCAAGCTTATCTTTAGCATAATCACGCAAGTATGGGAAACGCTAAAACCCAAAAACTCTTAAGCTGGAATAATCAGGGTGTTTGCTAAACGACCTATAGTATGGTGAGTCCATTTTAAGAGTTGGGGTTGGCAATCTATTTATAAGATGAATAGTGGTAGTAAGACAGTCAAGCCAATACCATTTGGGAGCTTTTGCATGAAACATCATAGTTAGTCCCAATGCACAAATATTTCGATGCTTGCGTTCAGCAAGTCCATTTTTTTCTGGTGTATTTGGACATGAAAGCTGATGAATTATGCCATGATCAGCAAGTAACTTACGAAATCCATTCCCGATAAACTCTCTTCCACCATCCGATTGAAAAACTTTTATTTGTGATCCAAATTGACAATCCACATAATTACAAAAATTAGCAAAGCAATCCACAAATTCAGTTTTCTTTCTCAAAGGATAAATCCAAGTAAACCGTGCATGATCATCCACAAAGATTATGTAATAACGATAATTTTGAGTTGAACAAACTGGAGCTGGCCCCCACAAATCACAATGGATTTTCATAAATGGTTTAGTATAAGACTCATCACTATTGATAAAAGGAAGACAAGAAGATTTCCCTTATTGACAACTTTTGCATATAGAATGCGACTTATTTGCAAAATCCATAGAAATAAAGTTCTTCTTAGAAAGGAAATCAACAATTTTATTGTGCGAATGTCCTAGCCGCTTATGCCAACCCTCTCTTGTAGTTCGCTGAAAAATGATGAGAGAACAATGCTGCCTTTCCTTCTTCTAATGCATAGAGAGCCCATTTTTTGTGGGCCATCGCCATTATCTGTTGAGTTCTCCTGTCCTTAATAAGAAAACCATTGGAATTAAACTCAAACAGTGGTAAGTCATTTGTAAGTTGGCTACCTAAAAGCAAATCTTTTTTTATTTCCTACAGCACCAAAACATTTTTCAAAGTAATTGGCTTAGGATTTCCTTTGACTTGAGCATCACCAATATGTGTGATGTCAAGTGTATGACCATTTCCTACCATAACACCATCTCTACCTTTATAAGGCTATAAGTTAAAGAGTTTACCTGCATGAGAAGTCATATGAGTTGTGGCTCCAGTATCTGGAAACTAGGCAGAGTCTTGACTGTCTGCAATTGTCATTGCTGCTAGTGCTTTAGGAATATCCTCTACTTGAAATGAGTGATTGAACCGATTATAGCACTTGAGGGCAGTGTGCCCACGTTTCCCACAAATCTGGCATATGGGAACATCTTTCTTTGCTTCATTAGAAACTTGACCTTTATGATTTTCCTTAAAATTGCCTTCTTGAAAACCATCTTTGCTTGTCTCATTACCTACAACAAAATTAGGCCCTCCATTGGCCTTGTTCACATTTGAACTCTCACCATGAATGAATCCTTTTCCTCTTGAATCAAATGATTTTTGCCACCGATAGGTCCCCTTCTTATTATGATTCCAATTATTTCGGTTTTGATTCCAGCCATTTTGTGCCATGTATGCCATTTCAGGTTGGGTATTTCCACCACTGCGTTTGATTCGTGCTTCATGGCTTTGAAGTATAGGAACAATAGCATTGTAGGATGGTACAAGGGGTTTTAACATAGTTACATATGCAGTTGTATCAAGTCCAATAACAAGACCCAACACGTCTTCTGCCAAGGTTCCGGTGATCCATCCTTTAAGCAGTCGATCTGAGCATCTCCAAGCAACAAACAGAGGATTAGGAGCCTGCTTTTGCTAAGCAGCATCAGTGCTCTCAGACGCTTGAAGTAGAGGCTCAAGTTGTGGTATTTCCCCATCAAGAAAGCCCTACAAGTCTTGGCTTTCTATAAAGGCCAACACCTGTGTTTTCCATAGCAAGTAGTTTGTCTGCCTCAAACGAATGGAGATAAAGTTGCTAACATTCAAGGTGGTAGGATATGAGTAGGTAGCCATTAGTAATTTAAAAAGAAAAACTCTCTCAAAAATTTTCATAGTGAATGCTCTAGTACCATAAAACAATTCAATAGTCTTTGGAAATCTCTAATTCAAGATGAGATAAGAGAGAGCTATATTTCAGTATAAATAGAAAAATACAAATATGGAGAGATTTACAAGATTTGCATAATTGAGACAATTAAGGGAGATTGAATCAATTTACAAGTCAACTGATTGACATCTTAAAGATCTTGTAGCTATAGTGTATTGATTTAAGGAGCCTTTTTCATCATTCACATTAGGGGTGGGATATTTCGGTTAATCGAACTGGATAGGGTAGTTTATAAACCGAACCAGTTTTTTGGTTTAAGTAAAAACTTAAACCAAAACCAAACCAATTATATGATTAAATCGGTTACGAACTTAACAGAATATACGGTTCGGTTTACCGGTTAACCGGTTTTTAAAATCAGAATAACTGAGAAAATTTGGCTGGCCACTAAAACTTCTACTCTAAAATTCTAGCCAAATGTAGCATCCATTACTAGAACAAAGAGAAATTTATGTATTCACCTGCAAGTTTTGATATAATTAATAAATATACTATTATTCTTCACCGAAGAAGTCAAATTAAGCCATCCAAATTTCTTACATCTTCACATATATAAACTTGAAAATTGGAGAAAAAGACAAAAGAGAAAGAGAAAAATGGAAGAGAAGAAAAGAAAGATAAGATAAGACGGAAAAGAAAGATAAAATCATAAAACTGAAAGAAGAGATGGAGAAAAAGACGAAAAAAAGTGAAAAGTGAAAAGAAGAAATGGAGTAGAAGAAGATGAAGATGAAAGAGAAAAGTTGAGGAGAAGATGATGAAAAAGGAAGATGAAAGAGAAAAGTGCGGAGAAGATGAAAGAGAAAAGTGGAGGAGAAGACTGAAGATGATGGAAAAGGTAGATGAAAGAGAAAAGTGGCGGTGGGTTCCAGGAAGTTAAGTATAATTAATATGCAAGGTGTTTTTTTTTTTTTTTTTTTTGAAACCGGTTTTAGAATTCGGTTTCGATTAATCAGTTTAGAAAAACATGAAAACCGAATCGGTTTTCAGAAAAACCAAATTTTCGGTCCAGTTTTCAGTTCAATTCGGTTTTCGATTATTTTTCCCACCCCTAATTCACATCACGTTGGTCAACTGGTATAACCTTAGCATCTTCTGAATATGATAGGCAAGAAGTCATTTCCTTAACAAATGGGGGCAACTAACCCTGAGATCATGGTCTCTTGAACTATGGTTAGCCCGTGGATTCCTTGGAGTGCACTCCAAGGGTTACCAACTCACCTATAACATTGCCTAAGGGAAATATGAGATTATTAGAGGGGAAGGTTGTAGGACCTTGTACCTAAAAATAGCACTTCCTGTTTTAGTACACTCTCGGAACTAAAATTTTAAAAATAAATTTGTAATCCATTCTTTTCATAAATTTAAAGATCATTCAATATATCTGTCCAACACAATTTTAATTTATTTATACATGATTTAAAGAAAAAAAAAAATAGAAGGTAAATAAATATCGTAAGCTATGTGACAAATTAAAGTATTACCGAGGACTTTCACATGAACTTTTAACAAAAAGCTTTTGTTTTCATGATGTTCTTTGCAGGTTATGATCTATTGATTTTGCATTAGTTACAAGATTTTTTTTTTTTTTTTTTTTATAGAAAGAAGAAATTTGATGATGAATTTAATAAAAAATTAATTTGTAAAATTACTGCGGTAGAGTGCACTTAAAAAATGGGGTGTTGAGAGCACTTTTAAAGGTTGCATATTAAATTCTACAAAATATCTGTTGTATAATAACTATATAAATGTGTAGCAACAGATCAACAACTTCAACTTTCATAAAAGAAAAATTTTGAACATGTAAAATTAGAATTAAAAGTGAGAATATTACTTACCAGGGACATTTTCTTCAGAGAATGTTATGTAAAGGAACCCAAGTTGTCACTCCAATCAACCCTGAAACGATATTAACAAGCTTTTCCATTCAAGTAAAGAAGGTTGAATAAAAATAATTAACAGAGAGGTCTACCTTCATCGAGTCATCCCTAATTGCTAATAATCTGTCAAATTGAACAAAATTGAATATAATTTTTGTTGAGAACACTTTTCGGTCTTGATCATTAGCTACAACTTCAACCATGAAAGAAGCAGCCAAATTGGATCATTGCTTTGTTGTGATCTCTTTCAAATCCGGACAAATTGAATGACTGATGAAATTGGCTAGCTTTTGCTTTCCACATCAATTATATTCACCGCGAAGCCAAGAAAGCCAGGCGGAGACTCCCCATTAGGCAATCTTGGCTTTTGAATATCAAGCCTCCTTTGTGGATCATCAGCTACAAACTCACCAGCAAAAGGTTTGGAGAAAGAAAAAAATTTAGAATGTCTGCAGATACAAGTCCATATAATTAAGGAAAGCAGAAGTCGAATTGATGCCTCAAGTTTTCAAGACATATGACAACAAACCAGTCATGTGTAGTCCTCCCAATTGAAGCACCAAGCCCATGAAGACCAGAACTTTTAATAATGCAGCCCTCTTTATCGTATGTTTCTAGAGCCTTAACACCTTCATAAGTCTTGCAAACAATTGTGAACATAGTGTCCATTCCTAAGTACTCAGAGAAAAGCCTGCACTCCAAAGAAGATGAAAAATATGTCAAGCATGGGGTATTAGTGAAAACATTTAGCTTTTTCACACTTTCCGGCAATACAAAAGCTAGAAATTAAACATGAATTCTAACCATTAACCGTCTCTGCAACAATGTACAACATAACCTCACTCACCACTCAGGAGCAAACAACACTACAACAACATGCAAGCTTTAAGGATGAATCTACTGGCAACAAATTCAATGGATTAGATATTTGGCTGTAGAAAATCATGTAATATAACAAATTCTTGGCCATTGCAAAACTTATAAAGGTCATTATTGATGGGAAACAACAAAATCAGTTAATTATAAATAAGAAAAAGCAACCAGAAACAAGCCAATACAAAAGGACAGCATCGCCAGAGAAAGATGAAGCAAAAGATAGAATACATGATCAATCAACCTGCTAAGATTTTCATCCACAACTTTGCGAAGTGAAGCAACAATACCAAGAAAATCCTTGGTTGGTTGAAGATGTGATGCCTGAGAGCCATGACGTGTTTTCAACTTACAAAAAATGCCTCCAGCAGATTTTTCATGCTGGAGAATCTACCCTGCTGTTTCCTCCTCACTTTAAAGGTTGAAATGGTCCTCATTATCAGTCTTAGGTCCCCTTGAAGAATGATACTTGCCAAGAATAACTGACAGAAAGCTTATCAGAAAAAAACAAATACAGAAACAATGATCAAAGTGTGTCATACAAAACTAAAACGAATCAAAACCTCAAAATACTTCAAAATTTGAAGTCAATGAAAGATTTTCTCCAAGTAAACAGATTTCACCTGAAGTCCAGGATCCCTTTTGCCTTCCTTTTTTTGATGCATAAACTGTGTGACTAAGTTTACCATCTAGATTTTCAGTAAAACATTATATAGTAGTTACATTTAAGGGTGCCGTTTCAAGAATCTTTTTTTATCACTAACAACCATTCCCAGGTGAAAAGTGCTTGATCTAATATTTATACAATACAATGGTTATAGTACGTCAACCAAAACCCTATCCAAATTGTCAAATCTATTCTTATGAATCTGGGCACCACCCATTTGATCTAGCTGCTAGATTGCAAGGTTTATCATACAAAATATTTGCCTTGACATTTTCTTCTGCAAATTTCAAGATGGAGTTGATATACATTGATTCATGTACTGGATTAAAATAATAAATATACCTTGTGATTCAAGTACAGAGTCATCTAACTTGTTGCTTTGGGACTTCAAAAGTTTTATGTGGTCCTCATGCAGCCTGATTTTCAAGCCTAGCATTTTTAGATCATCTTGAAGTCTCTACAACGATTAGGATAGAGCAAAGCATATGTCATTTGATCATTCTATTTTAAAGTTGGACATACTATTAAGAAAACTGATAAACCTACGGTGCATAAGGTGTACACCCTTAAGGGGCGTAATAGACAGTAAGGAGGTTGTTACGGTGTAGGGTCCACAAATCACAGGTGTAAAGTGATATGAGTCTGTTAGGAGAATAAGAATTGTGTGAGTAAGGGTAATTAAGGAAAGGGTTTAGTATATAAATAGAATGAGTCTTAGTAGTAGAGAAAATAGAATTTTGAGTGGTAAAACAGTGGAGGTTCCTGGCTCCTCGAAATGCTAGGATTTATGGCTACAGATACTCTTCATTCCATTTTCATCTGATTCCATTTGTTTCCTATTATCTGATTAATATAAATATATTGGAGGTCATTTAGATTGTCTGTTTCTTGCATTATTGTTGCTGTGGTTTGGTTGTGTGTTGGGTTTGCTTGCAGGTGAACCTATCAATTGGTATCAGAGCCAGGTTGGGGAATGGTTAAATCCAAAATGGAGAATAGAATGGATAATGTAGAGAAGGAGATAAAGACAGTAAACGAAGACATAAGTACGTTAAAGATTGACATGGGTAGTGTTAAGGAATATTTGACAGAAATGCGTGAATTAATGCGCATGAGAGAAGAAAGAGATGGAAGAAGAGGCCGAGAGAAATCTCCTTCATCAACGGAGAACTAGAACTCAGGTGAAGATATGGATCAAGATCGAGATAATAATGGGAAAGAGGAGAAAAAGAACATACGCAAACTGGAGTTGCCAATCTTTAATGGAGAAGATCCGTTTGGGTGGTCCTTCAGAGCAGATCGTTACTTCACCGTCAACCATTATCAGGAGACATAGATGGTAGAAGCAAAAGCAGTTTGCATGGAGAGGAGAGCTCTGAGCTGGTATCAATGGGTTGAATCCATAACACTATTTCAGTCGTGGGAAGCATTCAAAACAGCACTGATTGATCGATTTCGCCCACATTTAAAGGATTTGCTTATGAGGCCTTAGCAGCCTTGAAACAAGAAGGGACAGTGACAGAGTACAGAGAACAGTTCGAAGCTAATGCGACACCATTGAAAGAGCTAGGAGAAGATTTGTTAAAAGGGATTTTTGCAAATGGGTTGAAGGAGGAAATTAAAGCAGAAATAAGATTAAATCAACCAAATTCATTGTTTGGGTTGATAGACCAGGCCCACAGGGTTGAAGAAAGGAATAGGCCCAAAACATTTAAAACTCAAATGGGTAGAAGGGAGTCTTATTCACGGGTCAGCCCAAACCTGGAGGCTTCACGTGCAAATTGGTGGAACTCTAGTGCAAAACCACCAGATCCCATTCAGTTTTCGTCAAACTCCAGCAAGGTTCCTGAGCGAAGGGAGAAATCCATTAAGTCTGTGGGGTCCAGCAACAGGAACGACAACTTCTGACGACTCTCCGATGCTGAAATACGATATAAAAAAGAGCGTGGGTTGTGCTATGAAAAGTTTGGCCCTAACCACAGGTGTAAGAACAGATCTCTGCAGGTGTTGCTACTCCTGGATGACGAAGATACAACCCCATCGAAAATCGAGACAGAAACTGACAATGAGCCCAACAGTGAAGGTAAATATTTAGCACTTTCGATGAACTCCATCGTGGGTATCTCTTCGGGAAAAACTCAGAAGTTAAAGGGGCATATTGGGGATGAGAGTGTGGTGGTATTGGTTGATAGTGGGGCTTCCCACAATTTCATTTCCCATGAGATTGTACAGAATCTAGGGCTGAAGGTGGATAAGGGAAAACGCTTTGGAGTAATGGTTGGGAATGGATGTACCATTCAGGGGAGGGAATTTGTAAGGCAATTAGGCTGAAACTCCAAGGGCTTGAGATCCAGTAGGAATTTTTTCCGTTTGAATTAGGAGGTGCAGAGTTGTGTTGGGAATTACATGGTTGAGTAGTTTGGGAGATGTAAGTGCTAATTGGAAGAGGCTAACTATGGAATTTGACTGGGAAGGAGAAAGGGTAAAGTTGTGAAGGGATCCTTTACTGGTGAAGACTGAAGTTTCTCTGAAGACTATGGTCAGATCCTTACAATCTGCAGGAACTGGCTACGTAGTGGAGTTTGGAGCCATAGGTTTGAAAGAGGATTCAGTACAGGAGGAAACTGATCCCAAAATATTAGAGGTGATAGAACATTACCACCAATTGTTTGACCAGAATCTTAAACTACCTCCCCATAGGGTCCACGACCATGCCATAGAACTCCAACCAGGTTCCAAACCCCCAAATATCATGCCATTCAAATACCCGTACTTTTAGAAGAACAAAATTGAAAAGCTAGTTGGGGAAATGTTGACTGCCGGAATTATTCAACCTAGCATTAGCCCGTATGCCAGCCTTGTCCTATTAGTCAAAAAGAAAGATGGAAGTTGGCGATTTTGTGTAGATTACAGGGCATTAAATGACATTATGATACCTGACAAATTCCCAATTCCGACCATCGAGGAGTTACTGGATGAGCTGGCCGGTGCGACAATTTTCACAAAACTGGATTTAAAATCAAGGTACCACCAAATCAAGGTGCAAGAGGTTGATGTACCAAATACAGCCTTTTGAACTCATGAGGGGCATTACGAGTTCCTTGTTATGCCTTTCGGTCTCACTAATGCCCCTTCAACCTTCCAAGCCTTAATGAACTCAGTATTTAGAACCGTCCTACGCAAATTCATCCTGGTTTTCTTTGATGATATCCTTATCTATAGCCTTAGTATCTCCACCCACATCCAGCATTTACAACTAACATTTCAAATTTTGCAGAAACATGAGTTGGTTGTTAACAAGAATAAGTGTTCGTTTGGGCAATCTAAGCTAGAGTATTTAGGCCACCTGGTATCAGAAAGGGGAGTGGAGACAGATCCGAAGAAGATTGAGGCCATGGTCTCTTGGCCATGAGCACTACATGTTAAGGGCTTGAGAGGGTTTCTGGGGCTGACTGGTTATTATAGGAGATTTGTACAAGAGTATGGTTCCATCGCACAGCCCCTCACTCAGCTGCTGAAAAATGATTCTTTCACTTGGAATGAATCGACCCAATTGGCTTTTGATAGGCTCAAAGAAGCAATGACTACTGTTCCGGTGTTGGCAGTTCCAGATTTCACACTTCCGTTTGAGATTCAGACAGACGCATCAGGTAAAGGACTTGGGGCTGTTTTGGTGCAACAGTCTCGCCTCATAGCCTTCCTTAGCAAGGCCTTCTCGCCTACAGCCAAGCTCAAATCGGTCTACGAGCGAGAATTGATGGCCATTGTCTTTGCGGTCAAGAAGTGGAGTCACTATCTGCTCGGTGGGAAGTTCATAATAAAGACTGATCAATGCAGCCTCCAATTTTTAACGGACCAGAGAGCCAAAACCCCTGAACAACACAAGTGGATTTCCAAACTCATGGGTTTTACCTTTGAAATTCAGTATTATCCGGGGTCTTCGAACAGAGTGGCAGACGCTCTTTCAAGAAGAGAAAACGAGACTAAGTTGGCAAACCTTACGATTTTATCTGCGGTACAATTTTCTGAGTATGAGAACATGGCTACAGAGGCACAAACAGATCCGAAACTACGGGTAATCATACAGGACCTTCTCCTTGATTCTTCTAGTCGACCCAACTATCAACTCCGCACGGGGCTGCCTATTCTATAAGAACAGGCTGGTAATTCCAAACGGGTCTAGGTTTGTTTCAACATTACTAGCTGAGTTCCATCAGAGTCCTAGTGGAGGCCACTCAGGTTTCTTCAAAATGTATAAGAGAGTCTCTTCGGTGGTATATTGGGAGGGTATTCGGGGAGATATTCAACGCTTTATCAAGGCTACACCACATATCAACTAAATAAGCAGTCATCATTAAATCCAGTCGGACTCCTACAGCCCTTACCTATTCCGAATCAGGTTTTTTGAGGATATCTCTATGGATTTTATCGAGGGATTACCACGTTCGAAGGGAGTGGATACCATTTTTGTGGTGGTTGACCGACTTACTAAATACAGTCATTTTTTTAGTCTTGGTCACCCCTACAACGCAAAAGTAGGATGTGGCTGCCATATTTGTTAAAGTGGTGGTCAAGCTCCAAGGTTTTCCAAATTCCATTGTTTCTGACAGAGACAAACTTTTTATGAGTCGATTTTGGCAAGAATTGTTCAAGGCTACTGGTACCGTCCTAAAGTTTTGTTCGGCTTACCATCCACAGACCGATGGACAAACGGAGGTGGTCAATAGGTGCCTCGAGGCTTATCTTCGCTGTTTCTGCAGTTCTCAGCCACGACAGTGGCCTATGTGGCTTACATGGGCCGAATTCTGGTACAACACCACTTATCACGGCTCCATCCGGTTGACCCCCTTTAAGGCCCTCTATGGAAGAGATCCCCCCACACTTTTTAAATTTACAGATTGCCCATCAGCCGTGGAAGATGTAAATGTACAAATGCATGAGAGGAACTCCATGTTAAAGGAGCTTAAGGATAATTTAGCTTCGGCTCAAGCTCACATGAAGAAAAATGCAGACCATCATAGGCGAGACGATTGCTTCTAGCCTGGTGACTCAGTTTTTCTGAAGCTATAGCCCTACAGGTTTAAATCTCTAGCTTGGAAGATGAATGAAAAACTCAGCCCCCGTTTCTATGGTCCTTACACTGTTTTGGAACGAATTGGACCAGTGGCTTATAAACTGGATCTGCCCCCAGGACTCGAATTCATCATGTCTTCCATATTTCTCAGCTCAAGAGGAGCTTACATCAATCGGTGCCTATCCAACCCCTACCGGAATCCCTCTCTGAAGACCTGGAATTAATGGTCCAGCCTACCATTGTCCTATATGTGCGCACTCTACTGAATGGCTCTAAGGAGGTCCTCATGAAATGGCAGGATTTACCTGAGTTTGAAGCCACCTGGGAACCGTATGAAGTGATTAAAACACAATTTCCTCAGTTTCACCTTGAGGATAAGGGGACTTTCAAGGGGGGGTATTGATAAACCTACGGTGCATAAGGTGTACACCCTTAAAGGGTGTAATAGGCAGTAAGGAGGTTGTTACGGTGTAGGGTCCACAAATCACAGGTGTAAAGTGATATGAGTCTATTGATACGAGTCTATTAGGAGAATAAGAATTGTGTAAGGACAATTATGGAAAGGGTTTAGTATGTAAATAGAATGAGTCTTAGTAGCAGAGAAAATAGAATTTTGAGTGGTAAAACAGTGGAGGTTCCTGGCTCCTCGAAATGCTAGGATTTATGGCTACAGATACTCTTCATTCCATTTTCATCTGATTCCATTTTGTTTCCTATTATCTGATGAATATAAATATATTGGAGGTCATTCAGATTGTTTGTTTCTTGCATTATTGTTGTTGTGGTTTGGTTGTGTGTTGGGTTTGCTTGCAAGTTAACCTATCAAAAACATATAAAACATAAAATTAGAACATACTAAAATATAATGCATCTAGCTATATCCTTAGTCAAAAGTGTAAAACAAAATATGCTTTTTCTTTTAGAAAGAAAGTAAAATAAAATTGTAAACTAGTTCCAAGGTATTTTTTTTTTCCAAACAACCTGAGAATGGTAAAAGATAGCTTCTGCTTGTGGATTTTCTCCATTTTGCGTTCCAACTACAGAAGTTTCCTTTTGATCAACTTGCACTGATGCTGATGAAAGTTGGATAGACAAAGCATTTGTTTGAATTGACAGCTGCAAATGAGAGGGACAATCATGGCTTTGCAAATATCAATTTACAGTAAAAACATTACAGATGGAAATTACTGGTACATACACAGGATTTGACTTTCTCCTAGACTCTGCCGCATATTTTCCATCCAAAACAAAGCAACAAGAAGAAAACCAGAAAACAGGAAAATATAACAGGCGAGGTAGTTCTTGTTTTATTACATTTCAACATTAGTTTGCAATAATGTATGAATCATTCAAAGATGCACTAGTCTAAAACACATCCCCAAAGATGCCCTCTTCCAAAAAGAGAACTATATCAACTTTAAAAAAAAAAAAAAAACTGTGGTTTTGCAATCAGGGAATAGCTGGTCTACATCCAAACAAAAAGATGCTACCACTTTTCAGTACTACCAAGACTTCAAGAATGCAACCAAAAAAAAAAAGTGATATTTTCAACATCATAAATTATAATAAAAATTGGGATTGTCAAAATTATATTTGTATTTTTTTAGCTTAAAATTATTTGCTACTAGCATTGGTATAGGAAGGTAAAAACTTCCAACATTTACAATATTCACAAAAGAGTTCTTCACATCAAAAAGCTTTTATACGTCCTTCACTAGCTAGACTTACATAGAAGCATCACAGAAAAAAATTTAAAAGAAAACTCATTAAAGTAACTTCATATCACAAAAACCTCAATTTCTCACTGAAAGGACTAACACGCTTGACATAATAATTCAGGAACTTGACCACGCAACATTCATGAGCAAAGAACAAAAAAAAGATCTCCGCGAATAGCCAGAACAATTTGCAATCAAGCATTGAACTTCTAAGCAAGATGTATTATCAATATCAGACAATTTATTAGTAAAAACTTGTAACTTCCTAGTTTCTCGAACATCATAAAACAACTTCCAACAATAATTCTAGCCAACAATTAAGTTATTTTAGCAGGTTGAAACTCTATGGGTTGTAAAAGAGACCTTGGAATCAAATCTCGCCCACAACAGGGTTCCATGGGCTTTATTTATATTTAAAAGTTTTTTTCCTTGAAAAATAAAAAATCCAAGCATTTACAAATCCAGTACTCCTTTTTTTTTTTTTTTAACTTTTCTATAAATGTTGTGGGTTTCAGAAAAAGCAAATGCCCAAATTAAACAATACTCTAGCTTGTTCTATGTAGTTAAAAAAACTCCAACACTTAATCTCTATGTTCTCAGCATTCTAAAATTTTCCTTTGATAAAATTAAAGATTGTAACATTTAACTTTTCAAGATCAATCAAATTATCCACAAGAAGCAAAATCTAAAGATTGTTCCTAGAGATGGTTAAATTAAAAAGTCAAATGTTTTTCCTTCTTAGCTAGACAAATAAAACCAAAAGCTACAAAGTAATGAGTGACTAAGAATTTTCCATCAACCAATGTCTGGACCCTTGAAATTACAATACACAACTAAAATATGAGATAACCAGAACTAGATAGCACTAAGCTTTTAATATGTTACTGTTTCACAAGACTAATATTAGGCTTTAGTAATAAAAGAATATCATTTTCTTTTTCTTCCTTGCAAGTAAATATCCAAAACAAAAAAATGCAGTTAGATAAAGAGACATACCACTTATTCCACAACTAGCCGTTACTTTCAAGAGGCCACTAAGGTCAACACATCCATAATTGTCCACCTATGTTTACAAACTTTTTTAGGACATTCAAATCATGTAACAGACAAAAATGGTAAACTCCAAATGCAATAGAACCTCAAAGCACAATTATAGTATTAGTTTATCATGCATAAGATGTCAGATAAACAATAACAATAGACTGATGCACATCATATTGTCGTATAAGGGAACAAGAATTTGATTAACTCTATGAACTTTTGAACATTACTTATTTAGACATACATACTTTCAAATGGCCCTTTAGGGTGTCTTTGTTACATTATATTGCACAGCATTAAAACTTTAATATTACATGGCCCAGTTCTAAAGACATGTATCGACCTCACAATACAATCCATGTATATCTATGCAAAATTGACAACCTAATGCCTTTCATTAGAGTAGGACGAAGTTTGTATTGGTAACATTAGTATTGACAATTAACTGTCTTTTGTCATAGTGGGATGGAGATGTAAACTCTAAGATATGTGTATCAACCTTATAATACATGCACTATTTATGTAGGATTTACAAAACAACAGAGAATCGAATTTATAGTAGAATGTGTCTGAATTTATAGTTCACACTTTGCTGTCTTTCATAAGAGTAAGATAAAGATGCAAACTCTAGACCCATGTATCTACCCCATAATAGATGCACTATTTAAGTACGACTTACGCAATGACAATGAATGGACCTACGACAGAACTATGAATCTAAATTCACACTTCACACTTTAAGAGTCTCCTCTTTTTAACCAGTGAATGAACCTACGACAAAACCATGAGTCTAAATTTTATAGTTCATAGTTTAAGAAACTCTTCTTTTTAACCAGTGAAAAACAGATGAAGAACAAGTCAAGAGCATGGAGCAACTTAGGAAAGTGAAAGTGCAATAAACATGTAGGCAGAAATGTTGGCTCCTATGGCAAAGATAATTAGGCAAAGAGATTTGGTGGAACTTACATGTTTTAAGCAGTCAACTACTATTTTAATCACATCATTTAGATAAAGCAGATTGATTGTGTGTATTAATATATTTGTCCGCTACGCGTGTAGGGAGCTAATCTGTCATAAAATCAATAAACAAACCATCACAAGTTTCATATAATTGAACAACACTATCATTATCTAACCAATTAAAGACAAGTGTGCACGAGTGAGTGTTTTCCTGCCTTGACGAGCAGTCTATCCTTTTGCTTATCCTAAACACAATGATCATGATTAATTAATCACATTGTGGGTTGTAAAAGACTTAATTAAAGTTTCATGGCACGGCCTTTGCCTTGCACAGAAACTATGACAAATTCTTCATTTGATTCACCAATAATTAGAGTTAAAAAGAAGTTGGTGGGTCTGCTCTTAAAAGCCCTTGTGGGGCTCGTCAACTTGAATCAATTTTATATGACAAGTGTGAGTTAATAAGACTATATAGGAAGCTTACAAGGTGGTTATATGGAGTGGCTCTCAGGAGGCTGTAGCTGGAAGCTGTAAACCAGTTGTTGAAATTTTTGGCTTAATGGCATAAGCAAGAGTAATTTCTGCTGGGGTTGAGTCTGGAACTTCATTGTGGAAGGGTACTTCAAACAAAAGGGATTGGTACAGGCACACTTCATATTCTTTACAGTAATAGACTTGTAAAACATGGCAAATCATCATCCATAAAATAGTTAATAAGCTGCAAAGTTAGAATGAATTTATTTAAACTTCTTTCGCATGCCATCTTAATGCTATTATAGTCTGCATAGCCGAATATCAATTTGATCTTAGAACATAGAAATTTCGGTGTTACATGTGTTTGATATTTTTAACTTTAAATTGACTATACTATGCAAATGATGTTTCAATCAACCCATTTACACTTCAGACCCTAGATCTAGATCTTTGCTGTTATTCTCATTCAAACAGCAAGTCCATCAAAACCTTTAATATGTCCAATGAGTGAACAACATACATTGAGAACCTTAGTGAGGACCCTGCAATTTTGAGCCACGAGCCTGCAGTGTTACAATGGGGCTGCGAGCCTAAACCAGGTTGTATTTATGGTTACTAAAACACCCTTAATTCCCCTGGTGTCGATATTGAAGGCTATGCAATTAAACTAGACAGCAATCACACGGTTTTACTTGTCATAAAGCAGTTCAATACAAACAATTTTTGACTTGTGGAGGCAATTTGAATAATAGAGCACAGAAAAGTGGCATACCTTACAACTAATTCTACCTGTTGAAGCTGATGGAGAGAGTCTCCTAAAGTGAAGTCTTGTTGATCCTTCTGGACTAAGATTTCCATCCAAGGGATCAACAGCCACAGAGTTTTCAGGTTCAACATCGAAGCTGAATTTACTACGTGCTTCCTGCATTTGTAGTCATAAAGCAGAGAATTATAAGGTCAAAAACAAATGAAAAAGTTGAAGCCTTTAGTGACACAGACTATCTGTACCTTTGAGAAAGGGTATTCCTCAGGCAAAGAAAATTTAATACTAAGGTTGCCTTCATTGGACACACCACCATCAACAACAATGGTCTGAGTGTCAGCAAATGACCGACTCCTGAGGCCTTTTGGCAATTTGGATTTGGGTGCAGGAGGCTGAACTCCTTTTAGCTCTAAAGTAAGAAGTTCAGGCTCTTTCTTGTTCAAGTCTAGGTATCTTATGACACTATTGTTTGCATTAGCTATGAGAAGCTTTCCTGAAAATTGAACAAGAAACACTTTTAATAAGTACTTATGATAATTTATGCAAAGACACAGCAAGTTACAATCAGTTACAACTTCCAAGTCAATTTTGATAACTGTTTGCAGCTAATGAAACAGAGAAGATTGTAACACCGTTTTCTGCTTATATAATTCCTGATGACTCCAAAAGCTGAAAGAAATAGTAAATGCATAAAAAGTGAAAGGACATCCTAAAATCAGGAAAGTTTACTTGGAGAGTGATATAAACATCCTCAACTTTCATTTGTGTTCATTAGGTTAACAAGGATGAAAGAGCTTCATTGTAATAATTCAAGAGATGTGATTGTAACAAAATTTAAAATATGAGATGGTAATTGGATTATGAATTCTCACATTTTAATCTAATCACACATAATAGCTCAGAAATAGCATTATGAAATAATGAAAGAAACTCATTTTCAGTGCATCTGAAATTCCATATGGCAGGTAACAAGGCATTGACTTTCCATTTGCAACTTGTTGCTAGATAGTGATTCAACAAACAAGTATAACGAATTCTCACGGTAGATGCATGTAACAGATATAAGCAAACTTTTTTTCTTTTTGAAATTAAAATTCCTTCAAAGCAACATATACTGAATTCTCAGCCACCAGTATGAGGAGAATTCAGTAAGATGGACACAAATTATTTTTCTAACCTCAGCTGCTAGGGCTGTTCCATCCTTGAAACCAGCTTTCCCAGTCCCTGCTAGGGTACTGACCATTTTACTAGCTGGATCCAACTTCTTGATCTGAAATTTCACCCAAAAAGAGATGAAAATCAAGAAGTTAGCTTTGATAATTCACATTCATTTTATCAGTTATGTGATCAACTCTCAACAGGAGCCCCCAAGTAATGCATCATGAGCATTCATGAAGCTTTAAATTTATCATCACAACATTCAACAAATGTCGGCAGGCTACAGTGATTTAAATATCTTTAATATCTTCATCTATTAGCTAATTACCTTTTGATTGTAGCTATCTGCAATATAAATTTGACCATCCTTCGCACAAAAGACAGCCGGTGGATGTTGAAGGACTTCAGATCCTGTTCCATCATGGTCTCCAAACTGTAAATCATACATTGTAAGAGTATTAGGAGAAAAAGACAAAATGACATAAACTAAATATGAACTGTAAGTCTTCTCCAATTTATGGAGAAAGTAAAAAATATTAAGAATTACTAACCTCAAAAGACCCACAAGCATACACAAATACCCACAGACATACACAAATACATACAAGCCTTTCAGAAAGGAAGAGGCTATTTGTGACCAAAAATTTATCTCAACACCCATCGTTTAAGATATCCAATCTATTAAAAAAAGAAAAAGAAAAAAACAATTTCTTCATTATTACTATTAAGCAATTTCTTCATCTTTTATCATCATTTCTGAAGACTGAAATTCTAGAGAAGATCAGAATAATATTATCACTATTAACTTCCTTGTGGCCATAGAATGTTTAACAACCTAAAAAAAGCTTCCAAATCCTACTAATTTGACAATGAAACTATAACTGTTCATTCTTTCGGTATTAAAATATCAAAATCACTAACCGCCCATTCTGCAACTTGATGCTGACTACTAACATAAATTTCAGTCCCCAAGTCTATTGATGGCCAGTGCCTCTTTACAGGTTCTGTACCAGGATCCTGACAGAAGTAAGTGATTGAGATAATCTTCCAACATCAAGCTCGCTGGTCCTGGGATCACCGATCCAACCCTCGCCTCTCTTCGTTGGGTATCCGTAGTCGCCCCAAACTGGGTGTGGCAGAATATGCAGGCTTTCCTGAGGGTTGAGGATTGCTAAATGCATCACAGAGATTGAATGGCTCCTCAGGATACTCAGCATTTCTTGGAGAACAGTAAACATGATAATATATTTCAAATTTGAGAAATATGTTAGGGTTAAGAGAGAGAGAGAGAGAGAGAGAGGAATTGGAGAGATTTGAAGAAGTATAACGTTGGAGAAGATCAAATAAGATAATTTTGCCGTTGAAATGTTTTTTTAAATTTGAAAATATTCAAACAAATCTCCTTTTTTTATTTATCTCAAAAAAAAAGAACGTATTTTATTAAAAGAGTTTAATCTCGTTTAGCTATTTATGTATGTTTCATTGAAAGCCTTCAAGATCGAGAATCTTTTCTTCTGTTAGTAAATTCTTATTTTATAATTTTATTTTTTATATTTTCATCAAGAAATAAATTAGTTTCAACTTTATCTCTCATCATGTAATTAAAGAAACTTTAATCGAAGAATTATTATTTATTTTATTTTATTTTGGCATTCATCCTTAGATAAATAATGATTTTATCCCTTTATCTAATTATTTATTAATTTCAAAATCATTTTTCAAGGATATTTCTCAGCAAAAACTCTTTGATATACATCTAGGTCTATCTGTTTTATTTTTTGAGTAAACGACTTTTTCCCACCCAAGGTTTGCCTTAATGACCATTTTCCATCCAAAAAGTTACAAGATATTACTTTCCTGCCTAATGTCATATTCCATTAGTAAATTCCGTTAAATACAGTGATTTTCATTGTAAAAACAAAAATACCCTTAATTGTTTGATTGAAAAAAAAAAATTATTAGTATATGCCATGTCAACAACATCACTACCAATACACCCCCTTTTAATTGTGTAACTACCAATATAACCCTAACTATGTGTAAAGATTAAATTACCAATTTGGTCCCTATGCAACATCAACTGGTACCTTTTGAGATTTTAAATTTTGAAGCAATTGAAATTACCATTTTGTCCCTGATTTTGATGCAAAATAAATTGACATTTATAAATGAATTTTGTCAATTTGAACCTAACAAGAGTGTAGATTTTAAAATCACAATGCATCCATTGAATTAAAAACCCAAATAAAAAAAAAAAAAAGGGAAGGCAATACAAGGATCTTCAATTTGGATTAAAAAAACAAGCAGGTTTTAAATGGGGAGAACACAAAATTGGAGTTAAAATCACTTCATTTTCATTGTCATAATTCTCATTCAAAAATATCAAATCCAATTCAATCTCCATCTCCTTACATGCCACCATCAAAAATCTATGATTAATAATGTATGCATAGAGCAAAAATATGACCAATATTTGATCTGTCCTAGGTGACAAAAATGGTAAATAAACATCAGGCTTTAATTCTGGTGCTTCTTGTATTGCAAACCCTTGATGATCTCCAAGGGTTATGACTTGAAACGGATTAAAACAATAACTTTCTCTCAAATTTTCCACAAACTTATAATACAAACACTATATCATATTTGTAGTTGTACCAAACTTTTTTTTTTAAATGTAGACATAAGAAGAGCATTACATTGATAGGATAAACCCAGGAGAGCATTAAAACATTTGTATTTGAGAACAAATATGCTTAAAAGGATTTATGTCATTGTCACTGTACAAATTTGTACAAGCAATTCCATTCCAAAAAATAATTAACCAGCTTTACACATTCACCAACACAAAAGTCATAAGACGTATTAACCATCTTAAAGTTTCCAACAAAAACAAGTCAAACCGACCACATTCCATAGTCAGTTGAACATATCATGTAATGGAGTTCAAAAGGGAGCATCATGAAACAACATCAAAAGATTCCTCATAGGGTACATGTTTACAAAACTAGCAAGATGTCTAACCTCCAACTTTTATCATGCAACCGTCCAGAAATTCAATTACAAACCATTACGCTTCCACTTTCAACAATCTACTGCAACAAACAATGATTACCCAGAATTCAACCTCCATGGAAGCAATTGCCATAATTCATTCACACATATAAAAAAATCCCTAGGCATCTTCAAGGCTCAGAAAAGAGCTCAACATTAGCAATAAAGCAAAACAAGTGTAAAATGCAATCAACAATGACAGGCAATTGAACAATGGGAGTTTATCGATATAATTTAGAAGCCAAGATTTCAGTGTGACAAGAGAAAAATAATTTAATCATTCATAAATTTTATATATATAGTACTAAAGCATGTGAGCCCATCAATTAACTACTAGGCGAACCATCACTTCTCATTATCAATTCTAAAATTAATTAACACCCTTCTTACCTCTACTTTCTCCACTAACCTGGACCCACATGCATGACCATAGTAATTCTTACTCAATTCAACATCAATAACCAATTAATCTTACGAAAAGCCAAGTACATAAATATATAATTAACAAGCAAAAATACAGCAAGAGTCACCCTTTTTGGAGCTGAGCTTAATGTAATTGTCCTCCAATTCAGTCAAGCCGAGACATTCAACCCTAAACAATCCAATTACCACCCAAAAGCAAGTCAGATTTTTCATTACAAAACACCCATTTCCCAGGCTCCTACCAATGCATTCGGCTAAGCTCTAAACTGACATGCAAACTTCAAATTTTTTCCCAACCGATACATGCAATCCAGTCAGCCTATAGTTTCATCAAAAACTTCAGCCTTTTATCAAATTGTTCAGCTAAAAGAAAAGGAATTGAACATGCAACACATCACCTAAAACCAGTCGAACAAATGAAGCCAATTTTTGTATCACACACATCAACATTTATGCATCAAACACCACAATAAATTTCAACACATTACATCAAAATAGAAAATCAAACTTCTCGAAAAGAAATTTTGGAATCA